GGTTACTTCCTCAAACCTGATCAGCTCTAAACCCGGATCCGCCTTGGTCCTTGAGCAAGGTCACCTTATTAAAGCATGCATGCAATGTCCCATCGAATGTCCTCTAAGCAGCATGGGGTATGCTTGGCAAGGAAATTTCGATGCGTCATTCCTACTTGGTAATGGCCCTCAGCAGGCAAAAATCTAAATGTCCTTATAAATCTCAAGTTTCTAATTAAGTTCTTTTATTTTGAGGGAAAATATAAGTTTAATAAATTGATGCCTATGGAGACAATAAGCCATCTGAGCTGCATATATGGAAGCCAAGATAGGAAATAGCTATTGGCATATTTTAGACCAAGAGAAAAAAAAAAAAAAAACAGGAGGGAGGAAGATTTCTTGAACACCATAAAAGAGATCAGAAAAGTGTAGAGTGACACCAGTGCAGGGCACAGAATCTTGTGTGTCCTCAGCAAGCTGGGTTACATGTTCTTACTCAAGGAATGGCATATGACAGGTGTTCACAAAGTAGTGAAGATCTAAGACAACAATATCACAGCTAGGATGCGCTGGCTGGCTGCAGTCCTTCTCATGCAGTCCTTGGCTCCTGGGATCTTTGCCTCGTCTTCCTTTTCCTGCTCTAGTAGTGCTTTCTTTTGCTCCCACAGTGGGCTCCAGTGGAAGATTAGGGCAACAGGATGGACATCCAAGGACCACTTGTATTTTAATAAAAGATTCTCTTGCTGACTGGTGGTGAACACTGTAATCCCAGCTGCTCAGGAGGCTAAGGCAGGAGGATTGCAAGTTCAAGTAAAGCCTGGACAACTTAGGGAGACCTTGTCTCAAAATTAAAAAGTCAAAGAGGCTTGGGACATGACTCAGTGGTAGAGCACCCCTGGGTTCAATCCCCAGGACTTGGGGCAGGGTGGGATTCTCTTATAGGCAAAGTTTGAAGGTTTGGGTTTCTTTTTATGCTGAATTTAATTTAATATATATTAATTCAAAATAAAAATGTATATCAAACATTTGCAGATCAAACAATTTCAAGATTAAAAAAATATTCTAAACTTCTAGTTCCATTAAATAAAAGTTACAAGATGTCACTATCACTCTAACAATGAGAATATGCTAGGTGAAGTACAAAATCATTTTCTTATAAACTTGACAGAAAGTTGAGGTCACAAAGAAACCTGAATGACTAAATTCCAGAAGTAATGAGTCCTTCAGAAGACCTCTGCAACTTCTTTCATTTTGGGCATAATGGCAAGAGGAGGAAACTGCCGTAGGTGGAGACATGGAGAAATCAGCCCACCTTTTGACAAACTCTTGATGGCCACGTGTGGGCTGGTATGCTGGATTGAGCTCCAGTCACCAGGCATGTCTGTCCTCACCTGCCAGCTCCTTCCCACAGGTGTTCACCAAAGTGGACAAGGGGAGTGTGCCAGAGGGAGGGGCAGTGGGGGTCTGGAGGAAAATCCCTCTGGAGCTGCCTGGGCCTCGACACAGTGTGCCCTGTGATCCTCCAAAGGCCAGAGGCAGAGCAAGAGATCAAAAAGAAATCCCTCGATGAAGTCCAGCCTCAGTAAGTACACTGCAGTGGCCTCTCAAAATTGGAGACAAGGAGTAGCATGGAAAGAGATCTTTCTACAGGGAGCCAGGAACAGCTCAAGAAAGAAGCCCATAGCAACCCAAGAAGCTGACAGCCAGGCTACTTAATGTCAAAGCACAGAGCGCCCTCCCACAGTTCATGAGCAGGTGGTTGGGTCGAAACACTTATGCTCAGATTTCCAAGCCCTGTCAAAGAAAACTCCTCTTTCTGATCTCAAAGCTTTGAAGGTTATGGAAAAGCTCAAGGTTAAAGCTGCAGCAAAGCCCAGGTCTGGCTTATCTGCAGATTATTGTGATTCAGCCTCTCTTTTCCTCGGTAGCATGATAGGAGAAGAAAGAGGCTTGCCCTTTTCAGGACTTTTTTTTTTTTTTTTTTTTTACTTTAGTCTCTACTGCTCTTTTGCTCCCATTGCCAATCATACTATAAAAATTATAAAGTGGGCTGGGGATGTGGCTCAAGCGGTAGCACGCTCGCCTGGCATGCATTCGGCCCGGGTTCGATCCTCAGCACCACATACAAACAAAGATGTTGTGTCCACCAAAAACTAAAAAGTAAATATTAAAAAAATTCTCTCTCTCTCTCTCCCTCTCTCTCTCTCACTCTATCTTTAAAAAAAAATTATAAAGTGTAAGGGCTGGGGTAGTGGCTCGGTGGTAGAGTGCTCGCCTAGTACATGTGAGGCCCTGGGTTCGATCCTCAGCAACACATAAAAATAAATAAATAAAGATATTGTGTCCAACTAAAAAAAAAATATATATATATATATATATATATTTAATTATAAAGTGTACAAAAAAGCAAGGAAGTGTGAGGAGAAAAGAAGGAGGGAGATGTTATAGAATGAACATTTATGCCCCCCCCCCAAATTCATATACTAAAGCCCTCACAGTCAATGTCATGGTATTCGTGGAGTTTGGGAAAGGGGGCAATTAGGTTTAGATGGAGTGATAGGGATGTCTTCCATGATGGGATTAGTGTCCTTATGAGAAGAGAAAGATCAGAACTCTCATTCCTCATGAGCTCACAAATAAAAGGTCATATGAGGCCACAGTGAAAAGGAATCTGTAGGCCAGGAAGAGCCCTCACCCAAATCAAACCTGACATTGGACTTTCAACCTCCAAAACTATGAGAAATAAATGTCTGTCCTTAGGCCACGCAGTCTGTGGGATGTTGTTATAGCAGCCAAAGTAGTCTAAGATGGGAGAGAATTGTGCAGAAGAAATATTTGAAGAGAGAATGGCTGAAATTTTCAAAAATCAGTCAATTTCAGTCAATCTGAGACCTACGAGGTTCATGGAACTTCAGCAGGAGAGATGCAAAAACAAAGACACTTATGCACAATGAAACCAAAAAGGAAGAAAATACTCATTACATACGTCATTAGAAAACATGGAGGCCATGAGACAATGAAAACATCTCTAAAATACTGAAAGTGAAAAAAGAGTCAACTTAGATCAATACGACACATAAAAATCTTTCAAAACCAAAGTCAAAGACTTTTTCAAAGAGA